CATGGCGATCGTGGAGACCTGTCATGGCCGGTCTCCGTTGCCTGTTCATAAATGTCATTGGAAAGTACTCGATGTATGCTCCCTTGCCCCATAAGCGATGTCTCATTATCCTCTTCCTCAAGAGTCATTCGAGGATGTTTACTCATAAACTCATCACCCTCATCCCTGCTTCTCTTCCCTTTCCCTGCCATAATGCCTCAAGAATTGGCAATTTCGCAATAAGAGGCCCAAGGTAAAATAGGTCGGAGTCCTGGGATAAACCCTCATACCTATTGCCCTCGTGAGCAATCCTGAAATCCCCATCTCTTCGGGGAATCCCCCACCTTGCATCAACCGCCCTTCGCTTTCACATTCAATGTTCAAATCAATAGTACGTCCATCCTCTGCAGATACCGCTAAGCCATGAGTCCGCACATCTTGGTCCCCTATCTCCATAGTGAAGGATGCATCATATACTAGATCCCCATCAGTATGTTGTGCAACGAAAACCTTCCCCCCCCCCCCAACGGGCAAGTAAAACCTGCACTCCAGCCTTATTCCAGAACCTGGCCTCTACACTTCTCCTCCTCCCTCTGCCTTCATAAAGTCTTCACCATTGTTGTGCAACTTGTACCTGACTAACCCCGTAAATGAGTTGTGTTCCCAACTTCCACACCTCGTCTGCATCCCCCTTGGTTGGAACTTCCCCATCGCTGCTATCCATCAGGCTCAGAGAGCCAATACACAACCATCTGTGCACCGGTGCACTTTCTCCCCCACACTCCTACCTGCTTCTTTCCAAGTACCAAAACTAGATTGCGGTTGGGTCTTTCTCTTCTCATCACTGATTTAAGAGGCCTGCCACATATGTCCTCTAAAGCTTCCAGTCCTGCATACGCTCTAAGGGCCTCTACCCCACTGTCAGATGCAAGTGCCCCTTTTGTTTTCTCCACGCAGGTGCGGCTAGAATGTCCCAAACAGCCATAAAAGAAGCAATATTCGGGAATGTACTCATAACAAAAATTGATCCACTTTAACCCTTCCTCTAGGAACTCAACAAAGGCGTCTCTCATAAAGAGCTGCTCAATATCCATCATGACTCGAACCCTTGCAAAACACCCTACACAATCTTCCCCACCAACCTGGTCCACTTCTAAAATAGATCCCAAGAGACCTCCAATTTTTTTCATAGCAGCACCCGTCATATTCAAAGGAGAAATCTGGTGCAGTTGTACCCAAAAGACTCCTGTAGTGAGTTTAATCGACCGCACATCATATCGTGTACCTCGACGAGTAAGACTAGGGCATCGCAAAAGGTCCAAGGTTCCATGTCCAAGACCCGAGCCATACCAAGTTGATTTGCAAAGCATACCAGGAATCGCTTCTCAGCAACCTCCTTGATGGACACTTCAGATGACCCCTTCCAGAAGCGGGAGAAAACCCCAACAAACCCTTCCTTTTTCCCATCAAAACCTTTGCTACAAGAGTAAACCGATGCCCCACCAAACAATTCCCAACTTCATCCTCCTCTATACGTACCCCATGTTGTTCTCTGTCTAACAAACGCAAGTTAGCCCCAAACCGTTCCTCAAGTTCCTCCATTATGTCGTAATACCCTTTGCACATCGTCTCTCGTATCCACTTTCAGTGTCCAGATCTCGTACTAGCACCCTTGTGTTACTCCAGATGGCTGTCATGAAACGCATGTAAAGCAGCCGCCAAACCCTAGAGAAACCCTTTTTCCTTTCGAGAAACCCTTCTTTTTCAAAATCACCTATTTTTCAACTTCTATGAAAATTCCAAATTTGAATATAGGTTCATAAATATCCTAGTATTATAAAATAATTACAAACTATGCCATCTACCTTGTCAAATCCCTTATTTTTAACATTTATATTTATTTACTTTGAATTTCGGAACCTATTCTTGGGCACTTATTTTTTGAACCTGTTTTTTTTTGGGTTTAAATACTTAATGGTGGTGCTCCCACAAGATTTGAGCATAAAAAATAACGTTTCAACCAAAAATAAATTAATGGACACACACTAATATACATAAATAACCTAATACATATAATAATATTATAGCTAAACAAACAATGATAATATCTACCTAATACAAATTATTTGTATTCCCAAAAAAGTATTGATCAGGTACTTGTATGTTGGAAACTTATGGTGATACATTCCCCCAAAAAAAAAAAAACTGACATGTCTAATACATGATAGGTAAATTGATAAGGACATATTTATGTAGAAAAAATAGGTACATAATTCTTAAACTAAAAATAAATAAAAAATAGGTACATTTACCCTATATTAGATAGGTAAAAATATATAGGTAAACTATTTACCTATATGCACCTATATTTTTCAGGTCCCTAATTTACCTAGATTATATAAGTAAATTATTTACCTATAATTCTTTATGTTCTTCGCTAAGACTATGTATATTAATTTACATATATTTTTTAGTATAACGATTTACTTATATTTAAAAAAATACAATTTAAAATAGGTACATAATAATTTTGAATCTAAAGAAAGCGTACATTAATCTATAAATGAAATTTGAATTAAAGAGAATTGGTAACCATTGATGGAATGAAAATCGAATATACTGCAAAAAATAAATAAATAAATAAATAATCACACGCCAAAAGAACACAGAGAAATTAAATTGATTGTAAAAGAAACAAATAAAAACATTAAATGTCACCAATTTGGAAAAAAAAATAAACAAAATCAGTTGAAAAATAAAGTCAATAATACATAGGGTTTTTCTTATAAAATTCAGGGTTTTATTTATAGAAAAATAACATAATGGGTTGTAGGTAAGAAAAAATGAGTTTCAAGGGGAAAAGATAAATTTACTATATATATATATATATATATATTATATGATGGTTTATTAGATGTTCAAGCATGCATCCTAACTTCTTCTGAAATGAACATGTGACCAATACAGGAACCAAGAGTTTAATGTAGCCATTCATCAAAATCTCTCTCTCTCTCTCTCTCTCTCTCTCTCTCTCTCTTCTCCATTCATATTTTTTTTGCAAAATAATTTTCCCAACCCTGCTATCACAAATTTTAAGTTTCCAATGCCAAACACCTATACCAAATTGGTCTCCTTCCTTCTGAACACCTACGCCTAGTATTTTCAACTTCTTCTTTTTCTTTTATTTATTTACTTATGTTTTTTCTGAATTAATTCCATTTCTCAATGATGCAATGTCAATTTTCGACACATAATTTCCCTTGGCTTGCAGCGATAAATTTACCAAGTTGGACATTTACATTTGTATTTCGTCGACATCGTCCTTCGGGTTTACTGTCGAGGGTGTTGTTCACAGCTTTTCTGTCGAATGTTTGGTTTTACTTGCTTGTGTCTTATCGTTGGTAAGGAGATGATTTTTCCGGTGGACAGTATCCAAGAAGTGGTGCGGGAATTGCACCGTAGAGCAGTTGGGAGCAGTTATTGGTGATTTCTGTGTAGGGAGAAAATTCATTTAACACAGTTATTAACGGTTGGGAGCAGTTATTGGTGGTTTCTGTGCAAGGAGAAAATTCATTTAAGACAGTTATTAGTGGTTGGTCGAGGATAGGTTCACAGAAGTTGAAGTTAGTTTACTCTCAATTTTGTTTATACTTATTGCTGCACAATTATTAGGGTTGAGTAAATCTCAGTGATTCATGTTCTACCCCATATGTGGATTTATGAGCTTGGCTTTATGCCCAATGCCTTTAGTTTTATATCTTCTGTTTTTCCGATTTAGATTTAGGATTGATTATCTATTTTTATTGTGTTTCGTCCTTATTCTATTAGTTACTTTACTTTGTTGGCTTTTTTGGTCTTTTTACTTGTTGTCTTGTTTCAGATTTTTATTTTATTTTAAGTATTCTCAGGTTTTTTTTACATTCAGTTTTGTGTAGTTGTGTTGTTCTTATTTTGTTTTCAGTAGACATTTGCAGGTGGTCAGTTAAGTTCTCATGGTGTGTATGTGTTGTTTCTTTTTCTTTTGTTTTCTTTTCTTTTATTTCCAGATTTTGTGCTTCTGCCTTTTTTGTTCTTTCCTTTTTTTGGGTTTTGTTGACTATTTCTGTTTTCTTATTGTTCATTTGTGTTTTCAGTTTATTTGTTTTATCTTTTAGTTTATTTTATTTTATCTTATTTTTCCTTGTTTTTCGGAATTTGTGTTTGTTGTAGGCTGCAAGTTTCTGATGTTGTCCAGTAGATTGAAGGGATGTTCAGGCTTCCTCTTCTTTTTTCTCTTTTTTCCCATGAGTTGTTCAGGCGCGAGTCTTTTTTACAAAAAGATCACGCATTTGTTCTTGTCTCTCATGTTTGGGTTTTGGATAGTATTTGCTGTTTTCGGTGCTATCTTATGTACTCTTATGGTGCTTATTATTTTAATAAAGCATTTATTCCAACAAAAAAAGAAGAAGCATGCATCCTATATATATACATATGTATATCAAGCTGATTGAAGACGAAGCCGAACTTGCTTCTGCTTTCTGTAAACAAGAAATCTCTTGGAACTCATGACCTCTCAGCCAAAAAGTTTTAAGAAAAAATTGAAAGGAGACTTTGGAGGCCTATCTGAAGAGCAACCCTAGCTAGCTTGACAACCAAAACAACAGAAGAAGCACGATCAGAGAGATACAAGACAGGCTTCCTTCTATTCTACGCGCGAAGATGCATGCAAACCCCTCGTCCCCCGATGCCGGTTGCTCCAACCCAAACAAGAATCCCAGAGAAATTACTCTTCTTGAAGGGTTACAAAGTAAAGTGATGGCATGGCAGCAAGCAATAGTTAATACTTACAAACAAAGTCCCAAATCACTCACTAAAAAAGAAAAATTAAAAAGAAAAAAAGGGATCCAGAAATCAGCTCCACCCGCATTCACCGCACGAATTTTAGTCTCCACCAACCATTGGCCCGCTAATAGTATTATTATCAAAAGAAATAGTTGCATAAATCTCGCAGGGGTATTTAAACAAGCCTCAACATGCTCTTCTTTGATCATTCACTCGCTTTGGAGAGCTTTTCTGGTAATTCTAAATCATCACTTGGATTATATTATTTTTCTGTTGTTTCAACTTGTGCAATTAGTTTGAATATTTTAAGTTTAAATGGGTTTTGTTTATGGAACTGACAATTGGTCAGATTTGGCGCATGAAGTTATTATTTTCTTTTCGTTCTATATCTATGCTTGATCACTCATCCATTGTCGTAATGTGAATTAAGCTACTTCTCCATGGATCTGTTCAATTTATTATTATTGGGGATTTCTGTAAGCAACTTCGGTTTCTTTGTCCATGTATGGATCTACAGTTTTTTGTACATCTTATTTTGTTCCTTCTAATGAAAATTTTCTAGTTTAAGCAATGTTTGTTTGAATATAATCCCGAAAAAAAAAAAAAAAAAAAAAGAAGAAGGAGGATGTTCTTGAAATTATTGAGGGTAAAAGTCTTGGTTTAGGAACAGGGTGTGGCCATAAATCTCTAGTCTATAGATCCGGGGAAAAAGGGTTTGGTTAAACCATGATTCAGTGTAGGGTTAGAAACTTCGAAATTGAACAATATTCCATTTTCATAAATTGTAGGATCAAACAGAAATTTACTGTGACTCTATTTTTTTTCGGGCACTTCGAACATCACCTCCTGCACTCCTCTACCACCCTCGCATGAGGAGTGTACGAGGTCATTTAAGGGTGATTTTGGAGTGCCACAAAATCATTATATGTGTGTGTGTGTGTGTATATATATATATAATATGGACCTAATTTTATGTGTATGTATATATGGCAGGCATATAGAATAGTGGAACATACGTAGGAAAATGGTGAAGATCTGCTGCATTGGAGCTGGATATGTTGGAGGTCCTACAATGGCAGTGATTGCCCTCAAGTGCCCGTCTGTTGAAGTGGCCGTTGTCGATATCTGGGACAAACGGATTGCAGCTTGGAACAGCGACCAGCTTCCCATTTATGAGCCTGGCCTTGATGATGTGGTGAAGCAATGCCGAGGCAAGAACCTCTTCTTCAGCACTGATGTCAAGAAGCACGTCATGGAAGCCGATATAGTCTTCGTCTCCGTCAACACTCCGACGAAAACCACAGGCCTCGGGGCAGGCAAAGCCGCAGATTTGACATACTGGGAGAGCGCTGCTCGAATGATTGCCGATGTCTCCGAGTCTAGCAAAGTTGTTGTTGAAAAATCGACTGTTCCAGTTAAGACGGCTGAGGCAATAGAGAAGATTTTGAGCCACAACGGCAAGGGGATCAAGTTCCAAATCCTCTCGAACCCCGAATTCCTTGCGGAGGGAACGGCAATTCAAGATCTCTTTAACCCGGACCGCGTGCTCATTGGCGGCAGGGAAACCCCTGAAGGCCAGAAGGCCATCCAGGCATTGAAGGATGTTTATGCGCATTGGGTGCCCGAAGACCAAATCATAACCACCAATCTTTGGTCTGCAGAGCTGTCGAAGCTCGCTGCCAACGCGTTCTTGGCGCAGAGAATATCGTCCGTCAACGCCATGTCTGCCCTTTGTGAGGCTACCGGGGCCAATGTTTCGCAGGTGTCACATGCCGTTGGCAAGGACACCCGGATAGGCCCCAAGTTCCTCAACAGCAGTGTCGGTTTTGGGGGGTCCTGCTTCCAGAAGGACATCCTGAATCTTGTCTACATCTGTGAATGCAATGGCCTCCCGGAGGTGGCAGAGTACTGGAGACAGGTTGTGAAGATCAACGACTACCAGAAGAGCCGATTTGTGAACCGTGTAGTCGCTTCCATGTTTAACACCGTGTCGACAAAGAAGATTGCCATACTAGGGTTTGCCTTCAAGAAAGATACAGGTGACACAAGGGAGACCCCAGCAATTGATGTGTGCAAAGGTTTGTTGGTGGACAAGGCCGAGCTTAGCATATATGACCCTCAAGTCACTCAGGACCAGATCCAAAGAGACCTCACTTTGAGAAAGTTTGATTGGGACCATCCAATTCACCTACAGCCCGTGAATCCGACCAGTTGCTTTAATGTGGATCAAGTGAAAGTTGTCCGGGACGCATACGAGGCGACGAAGGGCGCCCATGGGATTTGCATTCTGACTGAGTGGGATGAGTTCAAGAGCCTTGATTACAACAAGATTTATGAGAACATGCAGAAACCGGCATTCATATTTGATGGTAGATATGTTATTGATGCAGACAAGCTGCGTGAGATTGGCTTCATTGTCTTCTCAATTGGTAAGCCCTTGGATGCATGGCTCAAGGACATGCCTGCTGTGGTGTAAGACTAAACTGCTCATCGTGCTTCCATCAAAGTCGCCCCACCCGGCAGAGGCGGTAAGTTTTGATTCAGGTTCTTGTATTTGCTGTTCTGTTTTTGTTATTGGAGATTCACAATTTGAAATCAATAAGTATTGTAAAGTTATTGGAGATCCATTAATTCATGCATTCCCTCCAAGATTGTAGCCTAAAGGCAGCTCATGAGTTCTTAGTTACCTTCATTTGCTAGGCTTAAAAATGAGGATTTCACTAATAAACCCATTTTAGCATGACATAATATACACTATTTGGAGTGAAAAACCTAAAATTAGCCACTAGTCATTTTCTAGTTTTGGGGTTTTCTCTCCAAATAAGCTCTATATGAGTTTTTATATAATATGTCATGCTAAATGATTTTTTGAATAAATATCTATTAAAAATGTTTCGCACACGCATGACTAATAGAAAAAACTGAACTTTGAACCCTAAACCCTTTGCTTCATCCATTGGTTATACTACTACTTGGTTCAAGGAATCGACAGATTTCCTTACTGATATTTTGTATGAGGATTGTAATAAATAATTTTTACGGGCATGATCTTAGGGGGGAGAGGGGGGGCCACTCTACCCAAGGCAAGGTTCCTTCTATTGCTTGCGGTTGAGAGGGTAGGTTACTTCGTAACCGAAGACCAAAACGCCCATTGAGTATAGAGATACTCACCTAATCCTCTAAAACATAGCATGCTTTTTGTACTTATTCCGTCATTCTCCTCAAATAAAATGAGATCACTTTTTCACTTTAAAAAAAATAAAATAAAATAAAAAGTAACGCTTAGAGCGTGTGAAAAGGAAAAGGAAAAGGCATGCTACATGTGCATCTAATTACATAAGAAAATGAAACGTTTTGATAATTTTGTCCATTTCGTAACATTGGTTTTCCTACCACTTGCATATCTTCATTAGCATGCTGGTTAAATGGATAAACTATGCTTTAACCCATAACGTGACACTAACTGGACCCACTTGGACTCACTAATATTTTGCCAGGAGAGGTAGATTTTTATAATGAATTAATTTTATAATCTGTTATTTTTTTTTTTTTGGTCTGAACCACGAGCTGGTCTTGGATGGGCTCCAACTATGGATGGCACCTTTAAGCCTTAACCACAACCCAGACTAATCCCCGTTCACACCGGGTCGGCCCGTAAGGAGTAAAGTGCTGTTATTATTTACTTTGTCTACTAACACGACACGTATGAATAAGTCAACATGGGTCCATTTATTATTATGTCATGAGTTAAGAAGACAGGCAAACAAATGGAGGTATAAAAGTGATATGAAAATTAATTTTTTTTTTATAGTATAAGTAATAGTCTAAATTACAGGATATAGGAGTTTCACACACACACACACATGCACGCACACAATTAAAATGTCATGGGATTCAAACTTAACGCCTCTAGTCTACAAGTCAATACCCTTTTTTATTAGGTTAGACCACATTGGCTATGAAATACAAAATTAATAGAAAAAAAAAACAATATTAAACCTCTTTAAACTTTTTACGAAAATTTTCCTTATAATTGGATAATTGGACCTAAAGCATAGTTTAGGCACTTGTGGTTGAGTTGGTTTGTTTGGTTCTTGATGATAAAGCCCGTATGGATGGGCCTTGATTGATTTGGTTTTTACTTTGATTATTTCGGGCCTTTCATAGGGAATATGTCTACCTATTTCTAGACATGGGCCTGGTATGGTACGGTATGATATTGACCACTTCCCGATCAAGGTACCTGAATTTGTAAACAGTACGGGATTGGCATTTGCAGTGATTGATATCAGACCATACCAGCCGATCGGTTCCAGTATGAAACGGTACCATTTCTGTACCATTGTTGCTGGTTGTAAACAGCAGCAAAATTTGCATCCATTCATCAACGCCAATCAACATATTCAATCAAATACTTGCTAATTCATCAATCCAGCAACATTCAAGCATTATAAACATTCAACACATAAAAACTTATACAATTCAATGCCTTATTGCTCACAAACTTATAAATATACACATAAATTATGACATAACATAAACTAAATAAATGATGCAATCCAAGCTTATGCAATCCGATTTGGGGTTTGGTTTGGGGATTGAATTGATTGAATGATCGATTGGGGTTTGGTTTGGGTTTTGGAATTATGGAATGCGGTGAGAGAGTGAGATAGAGAGAGATTTTTTTTTTTTTTCCCCTTTAATTGAAGGCTCTGTCGATTTGGGGCTAAGAGAGAGAGAGAGAGAGAGAGAGAGTTATATAAAATTATAAAAATTGGAATTAAACACTGTTCGGTAAGGTACAGGATGTAATTCTATCAAATATTTGGTATTGCTCTAGTGCCATACAAAGTTGATACAGTTCGGTATCATACCGGATGCAGCCAAAAACTAAATAAAATGGAACGATTCCGATACGGTACGGCTCAGAACGTGTTTGGCTTCAGATGCCCAACCCTACCTATTTCTATTTCTGATCCCAAAAAAAAAAAAAAAAATTAATATTTCTTTTTTTTTTTTTTTTTAACCACCGGGTGGTCCTGGGTGGGCCCCAACCATG